TTTTATATGTTGCTCTCCACTCTTTAGGACTTGATGTACATTAGTTGTGATTTTATACATAACCAGCTACCAGCTTTTCTCCCCTAAATCATTTACTTTCAGAAAGAGCTAAAACTATATACATTTGCTAGTGATGCAATGCTTACAAGAGTTATACATAAGCCTAATTAAAAGTGTATATATATATATATGAATCTAGAATGAAAACAGTTTTTAAAAAAAGAAAGAAAAGTATTTCTGTGGGTAAAATATGAAATTCCTCATTTGTGGGTTGCTTTGAGTACATGTAAATGTTTAAAAATACATTTATATTTAGTAATTTAGCAGGTTTATGTGTTTCTTCACTCTAAATAAGATGCTTGTATTTACATTGACATCCAAAAATGTTGGATGATGATTATTATTGAATGATCGTATTGTTTAAAGTATGATTATTATAATTTTTCATGTGAGATGTTTTTTAAACCGTATATGAGAGCTTATAGAAGATACAAGACAATGCTGATAAATTAGTCAATTATATTAATATGAATCAAAATGAATTTAATAATATGCTAATAATAGTAAAATGCATACACTATTATATAAATTAAAAGAGACTATTTAACAGTTTATAACCATAATAATGTCTTTTGTAGCACTTTCAGCTCTTTGTGGAAACTCATAAAAGGGCTCTGCTGTTGAAAGAATTCAAAAAATGTGTGAACGCTTGAATTGGTTTATTGACATGTTATCTTTGAGATACACTGTTTCTGCTTAATCCTTTTACTGTCACCGCTACACAGATGGGACATTTTTTAAGAACTGTTATTTATTTATTTATGTAGTTATTTATTTATTGTCTAAACCCAAACTTGTCTTGACAAACTATATGCATTATAACGCATCATTTTCAAGCATGAACCCAAACTGATGATAGAAGGCTTTAAAATTTTTAATTAAACATTTATAAATCACCTATATATTGACATACAGTTGAGGGCAAAACGATTAGCCCTCCAGTGAAATTTAATTTTTTCAGATATTTGGAAAATGAGTTTTGATAGAACAATTAAAATGGTCAAATTATTTCCCCCTTATTTGTATTTTTGTGTTCTTGAGAAAATCATATTTCTTTTTATTTGGCTAAAAAAAAAAAGCATTTTTATTTTATTAACATACTTTTTATATTTCAAAAAATTAAGGTTAACATTATTATCCCCATTGCGATATTTATCAAATATTTCCCAAATGATGTTTAACATAGTAAGTAACTTTTTAAGTCTTTCCTATAATATTTCTTCTCCTGGAGAAAATCTTATTTGTTTTATTTGAGCTAGAATAAAAGTATTTTTTAAATCATAGGTCAAATCATATTAATAGCCTTCTTCATGCAATAATTTAGGAGGGCTAATAATCCTTTTGCTAATAACTATATATATATATATATATATATATATATATATATATATATATATATATACATAATATATATATATGTAATATATATAATATATATAATATATAACCATAATAACCATAACCATAACCAACCATAACCACATAACCAATGCTGTTCACTAACTTGCCTAATTAAACTAGCATAATAAACCTAGAAAAGCCTTTAAAAAGCTGAATACGTTACAAAATAACTCAAATATGGTGTACTGTCTTTTTGAAAAAAGACAAAGAAATTAGCTATTAGAAATGAGGTATAAAAACTATTATGTTTCAACATGTGTTGCAAAAATCTGCTTCAAAAATCTAAAAAATCTAAACAGAACTTCAGAAAACATTTGAAAAAGAATACAATGTATTTATGTTGCTAATATTGTTGCCTTTATGTTGGGCTAATAGCATTGCCTTCAACTGAATGTCAATATGTATTTAAATGCCAAAATATAATTTTCTCCATTTAATTTTATTTTGCCAACTTGCATTAATCAAACATATAGCCTCAACAAAAATCATCTGGGTCAACCCACGAAACCAGGCCATTGGCATCCATTGAGAGATGAAACTGTATCCCGAGTCCCATGGCTAATGTGAAGCTGCAGTGTTTCCTTACTGTGTCTTTTGTACACTTTTGTCGCTCCTCTGGTGATGCTGTATCTGCAGACCCGGCATGAGAAACTCATCCATCTCTTTGTCTGTCATTCAGCAGATCTGGCTTTGGTGCTGCTGGGAGAGGATCTGCAGGTTCCCACAGAGGTGCGGAGCGCTTATCGGCTAGGTAAGCTAACCGTTCCTAAGTGCTGATGTTTGATAAGGGCGAGCGAGTCACAGCCAACACAACAAAGAGGGACTTTGTCGGTTTTGTCACATAGACCTAAAATGCCTCTTTATTAAATGAACAAGAGGTGTTTTTCTTCAGTAATCTGCAGCTATACGTTGGAAACTCTAGCTGGAGGTAAGAGCGCTGTTGGTCCTTCACTTACATTAGCCCACAACACCTGTACTTAGGCCTGTGTGCTTGTATTGTATAGAACAGCAACGCGATACAACATAAACTCGCTTTAGATTGAACTTTTTTTGATACAACACCATGTAAGTTAAACCCTTTTCAAAATCCTGGTGTACTGTGTCTGTGATCAAAACCATACCTGTACTTAACTTTTCTTTTAACACTTGTCACCACTACCAAGCCGATCAATCACAAAGCTTGCGATACACGTTGTTGCAACGTGATGTTACTTTTATTAAGACAGCCTTAACCCTACATCTCATTGGGGGATGAGCATCATACTAAAATGTACGAATGATATTGCACAGATTACTACAAATTAGCCACTAAATAAAAAATGACAAATTGCTGTGATATAGTGTTATAGGGCGACCGTACTGAGCATGGCACCTAACGAACTACAAATCCCATCATGCCGTTTCACTCACACCAGTTGCCGATCACTGTTGTTGACACACATTTAAAAGAAATAAACATTCAAAGCTTGCAGTTTGTCACTTTTGCCAAAATGGATGATGTTTTTGACATCACCTCATACTTCAGTTTCCCACCAAATCATCTGACCAATCAAAAGCTCTCTAGTATCTGACATGTCCTGGCCCATTCAAGACGCTTCTCATTTGATGCACTTTATCTTAACCACTCTCTTTGGCAGAGCTGTTATAGAAATGAAGCGCTATTGGCTGTTCGTTATGTCCCACCCTGTCTTTATGTTTCAGTTGAGATTGTGTCAAATTTGGAGTAAAAGAAATCACATTTTAAAGCTCTTCATGGAACCTTTAATGTGGTCTTGTGAGAAAGAAATGTAATGGTAGGAAACTTTTTGCACAATCATATCTAATATTTTATTAAAAATGGTCTCAAAAGGAAACATGGTCACATTGATCTTTCAAGCTCTGGGCATACAAAAGTCTTCTTTGGGCTTCTCCACACCGTAACTCTCCTGGATGTGGGAAAGACACTAAAGATGGACTCATCAGAGAACATTACATGTTTCACATTGTCCATAGCATAAAAACATAAAGCCACAGCTGCCCAACTCACTTTAGAATTACATGTGCACCTCACCTGGTTTTACCAAAACTGTTTGTCAGGAGCTCAACAGGTTCTTTATACAATACATGGCCGAGCTGCTATAGCCAGGGCCGGAGCAAGCTGAACTGCCGCTCTAGGCAGAAGACGATCACGCCGCCCTCAACCCCAATGTGAAAACGAAAGTGACCGGTTATGAAAATGAAGTGAGGTGTCGCGGAACTCTTTTCCGGCGCTCTATGCGCAGATATAACTGAGGATGCGCGGGTGCTGAGGGAGGGAGGGAGGTAGGTGTCGCGGACTGGAGGACACCGCCCTCTCTATTCTGCCGCCTTATGCGTGGATATAACTGAGGACGCTCAAGTGCTGAGGGAAGGAGGGAGAGAGGTGTCGCAGACACTGCGCTCTTTATTCTTCCGCCCTTTGCGCGGACTAACTGAGGACACGTGGGTGCTGATGGAGGTGACGCTGACGCCACCCTCTCTATTCTATCGTCTATGCGCGAATATATCTGAGGACGCGGGGGAGGTGTCACGGACATAACTGAGGACGCAGATGGTAAGGGAGGTGTCGCAGACACCGCCCTCTCTATACTGCCGCCCTAGGCAACCGCCTAGGTCGCCTCTATGGACGCGGCCCTGGCTATAGCCAAACCTTTGATCAGTCATGGCAAATGCCAAATGTCGGTTTTCAATCGTGCCAGAGTTTCTGTGCAAACTACCAAATGTTGTATTCCGTGTGTTTTGTATTGATGTGATTTAGGAAAACCCAATAGTAAATCATTTTCGTCATGTCATTAAATACACAAATAAGCCTCACAATCTTTTGTAGGACAAATAATAATAATGCGCCGTTATGACCCACTGACTGATTTAATGAAATGAAATGTTTTGCATCTCCAGTGCAGCGCTGCATTCTCCAGTCATGAGGTGCAGTAACTGATGGCAGATGGCGGCTGTTGGCATTTGTACCCGGCTGGCGCCCAGACTGAATCATGGAAAGCTCGGTGTGAGGCACAAACAGCCCTCACTCCACACTTTCAACCAACCGTGCAGGACAATATCATAACCAGATTCAAAAATCACTCTCAAAATACAAAAAGTCTTTCTTTTTTTTTGTGGAAATACTAATGGAATCCTGCAAAATGGTTCAGATTTGGTGTTAAGTATGACTGCAATCGCTAATATGTTGTAGTGAGTTGTGTTATCTAACACTATTGGAGGTGTTAGCAGCTTTTTTAAACTACTTATTACTTGAATAAACGAGGCAGACGTTTCAAGCCGATTGGCTGTAAGTCAGCATATTTAAAGCAGATGAGCTGAAATGAGTTTCTCAGGGAACATCAGCTTTGAGTTCTGTATTAGTACAGTAAATTTCCAGCACAACTATTGCCTGTCTGAAATGTTAGATAACCATCAAGTGTTGTAAAGAAAATCAAATCCTTATGTCATTTATTTTTGTCTGGTTGTACTCTGACAAAAAGGTCAAACCCCAGGCCAGACTGGTAAAAAGGAACCAGCCAAAGTTTCAATAAAATATTTCAATAAATCATCTTTATTCGAGGCTGTTCAGATGTTCTCTGTTTAGCACACTTTTACTTGAATGCAAATACATGTGTTATCTTTCTGGAACCGAATACAAGTGGGAAGGATGGATGGATGGATGAATGACTGGATGGTTGGATTGGTCGAAGGATAAGTGGGTGGATGAATGGATAGATGATAGGATTGGTTATTAGATGGATGGATAGGTGGGTGGTCGAATAGGAGGATGGATGAATAGCTGGATTGACAGTAGGATGGGTGAATAGATGGTAGGATTGGTAAATGAATGGTTGGATGGATGGTTGGACAAGTTGTAGGATGGGTTGGTTGGTTGTTTGTTTGTATGGATTGGAAGTAGGATGGGTGGGTGTATGGATTGGTGGTAGCATGGGTGGGTGGGTGCATGGGTGTATGGATTGGTTGTAGGATGACTAAATGTATAACTGAATAGATGGTAGGATTGGTACATGGATGGTAGGATGGATGGTTGGTTTTTTGTATGGATTGGTTGTAGGATAGGTTGGTGGGTGGGTGTAAGGAATGGTGGTAGGATGGGTGTATGGATTGATGGTAAGATGACTAAATGGACAAATGAATAGAGGGTAGGATTCGTACATGGATGGTAGGATAGTAAAATGGGTGGGTTGGTTGTTTGTATGGATTGGTGGTAGGATGGGTGGGTGCATGGGTGTATGGATTGGTGGTAGGATGACTAAATTGATGAATTAATAGATGATAGGATTATTGAATTGGTGGATGGATGGTAGGATGCATGATTGAATTGGGGGTAGGGTGGGTGGATGTATAGATGGTAGAATTGGTGAATGGATGAATGCATAGAGGGTTGGATTGGCAGTAGGATGGGTGCGTGGGTTGGTGTATGGATTGGAGGTAGGATGACTAAATGGATAAATGAATAGATGATAGGATTGGTTAATTGATGGATGGATGGTAGGATGGATGGATCCCGTTGTACCATTATAGTGCATTTCCACTACAGCATCAAATCTGTGCCCAGTCTTGATGGCAATACTATAAAACAACTGCTTTATGTTGTGGATTGACAATGGATTGACAGTAGGATGTGTGAGTAGATGGATAGATAGTAGGATTGGTACAGTAAATGGATGGTAGGATGGATGGTTGGACAGGCGGTAGGATTGGTTGGTTGTTTGTATGGATTGTATGGTGGTAGGATGGGTGTGTGATTGCTTGGGTGTATGGACTGGTGGTAAGATGACTAAATGGATAAATAAATCAATGGGAGGGTTGGTGAATTGATGAATGGATGAATGAATGGTTGACATTCAGAAAAAGCTCCAATCAGATGCGAATGTCTGCAGCCACGTCTCTGTTTTCAGATGTCTCAGCTTTCCCCAATCCACACTGACACAAAGCAGCAGCGTTTTAAAACCAAATGACCTCTTCAGCGTTTTCAAAACACTCCATTATCAGGGCTCGAAAACTCTGGGGTAGTGTGAACGGAAGACATAACCATAGCGAAACGTATGTGTTTTAAAACTAAAACGTAATAATGTAAAGGGGGCCTGAGAAAATCCAAATAAGCAGCTCAGCTCTCAGAACATAGTAAGTGTATTAATGCACACACACACACACACACTATAATCTGCCGTTTTACTCTATAGAACTACATAAAAAGGCCTATGTAAAGGATTAATGCTGCCAACTGATGATCAACAGTAAAAATGACACATTTTACCTCTTCCCAACAGGGAAAACCACCAACAGTCAAGTTTGCACGATTATATGCATTCATGTCTTCGCAATCAAATCTAATGTCAATATAATGGAAGTCAAAAGGGAAAAAACAGCCACCAACATAATAAAAGGGGAGTTAATTTGAACAGTACACAAGGGTTAACTGATTCTACTGTTTTGTTTTTCTGCTGATCTCCGAAAACCTACTTTTATACAGTTTGCATTGTAAAAAGCAGCATGGATGGATGAATCCATACAGTAAGTGAATGATGTAAGCTTTGGAATGGATACGATGTCTTCAGTGCATAGATGGTCTCTCAAAAAAAGTCATTCTTTCCCAAATGAACAGCTGGGCTCTTACACGAATACAGCATTTAAAACCAATCAGAGAAAGTCTGTTTTCCACATCATATCATGTTTTTAGTATTGCGATATGATTTCACCCAATACATGCAAAACAAATTATATAATATTTCAACGATAATTGAGCATGTCAGTTACAGATATCAGATCTCTGATTGGAGAACACAGTAATCTTGTGTCAGAGCGAGCTTTTCATCTGTTACGGTAATATAAATGTCCATTCCTCTCGAAGGGAGCTTCGTCACACTTTATATTTCTGCTTCCCCGTCTCACTGATGACGCAGATGTGCTGTGAAGGGGAACACATCGCTCACATGAGTCAAGTGATAAATAAAGCAGAAAATAAGACTGTAAAAATAACGCGGCAGAAATGTTTGCTTCTGCTTCTGACCGAGAGATGTTTTCCATCACATTTACAGCTTAAGGAGAGGATTGTACACGTGATGGGTGAGGATGATTAGAGTTTTCTAGGAAAGACGAATGCTGTTCTGCATGCCAGATTTCATTTGGATGTTCACCAAGTGCTGCTCAACGCAATGACATTCATGCTGAAGGTTCAGATGACTGAGATTCATCTCTTATATAATGCTGTTTGATGAGCTTTGAGGTGGAGAGGCTTTTTTTAATGCAGCTTTATAGCATTTACAGTTTTTAGTTACTGGTTATGATTTCAGTTTGTTGTGCTGTGTTTTGATGTCCCACAAACATAGCCAGTCAAACTCCATTTGAAACGTATGTATATATATACACTCACTGGTCACTTTATAGGGTACACATTACTAGTACCGGATTGGACCCCCTTTTGCCTTAAAACTGCCTTAATACTTCATGGCATAGCATTCCTCATAAATTTTGGTCAATATTGACATGGTAGCATCACGCAGTTGCTATCTCTTTATTTTACATTCTCTGTAAACCTTAGAGATGGTTGTGTGTGAAAATCCCAGTAGATTAGCAGTTTCTGAGATATTCAAACAAGCCCGTCTGGCACCATCAACTATGACACACTCAAATACACTTAAATCACCTTTCTTCCCCGTTCTGATGCTGACGGTTTAAACTGCAGCAGATTGTCTTGACCATTGCTGCGTCTGAAACCGCATACTTCCATACTATATAGTACGCTAAAATCAGTATGCGAGCCGAGTAGTATGTCCGAATTCATAGAATTCGAAAATCAGTATGCGAGAAGTACCCGGATGACCTACTACTTCCGGCGAGATTCTGGAGTGCGCATCGCATGCACGCTGCGCTATCCCATGATGCCCCGCGAGCGAATTCATGAATGGGAGTAAAGCGACGCAATTGACGCAGGTAGGTCACGTGGTTATGACAAAATGGCGGATGTAGTACGTCCGAACTTCATTCATACTTTTCACATTCATACTGTATAGAACGTTCTTTTCTAACGGCCGAGTAGTATGTTTAAATTCAAATGCATTACCTACTGAGTAGTAGGCGGTTTCGGACGCAGCCCATGTCTACATGCCTAAATGCATTGAGTTGCTGCTGTGTGATTGGCTAATTAGAAATTTGCATTAACAAGCAGTTGGACAGGTGTACCTAATAAAGTGGCTTGTGAGTGTATATATAAGTCTTGTCGCCTATCCAAGATTTAGGAACAACAAATAATAACTTGACTTCTAGTTGATCATTTGGTATCAGAAGTGGCTTATATGAAAGGCAAAGGCCTCTAGATTACACTTATTTTAACAAAATAAAATATGATCATGCCTTGATTTTTAATGATTTAATTAGAACAGTAAGGTCTGACTTTGCTCAGACACAAGTCTTGTCACTTAACAGAAATAATGTTCAGTATAGAATATAAAGTCCTGCTGCAGTGGAAAAAAGATTTAATATTGTGAATGACTCCCATGAGCTTGGAAGACTGCATCCATACATCTCTGCAATGACTTACATAACTTATTAATAAAGTCATCTGGAATGGCAAAGAAAGTGTTCCTGAAGGACTTCCAGAGTTCATCAAGATTCTTTGGATTCATCAACAATGCCTCCTTCATCTTACTCCAAACATCCTTAATCATGTTCATGTCTGGTGACTGGGCTGGCCAATCCTGGAGCACCTTGACCTTCTTTGCTTTCAGGAACTTTGATGTGGAGGCTGAAGTGTGTGAATGAGCGCTATTCTGCTGAAGAATTTGTCCTCTCCTGTGGTTTGTAATGTATTTGGGCAGCACAGATGACTTGAAACCTCAGGCTGGTGATGTTGTCATCCACTCTGCAGATCTTTCGCACACCCCCATACTGAATGTAGCCCAAAATTATGATTTTTCCTTCACCAAACTTGACTGATTTCTGTGAGAATCTTGGGTGCATGCGGGTTCCAATAGGTCTTCTGCAGTATTTGTGATGATTGGGATGCAGTTCAACAGATGATTTATTGGAAATGATCAACTAACCTAAGTTATTATGTGTTGCTCTAACAATTGGGATTAACGATAAGACTTTTGTCAGGTAGTGTATATATAATAATAATATAAATATATATATATATATTAATTTAAAAATGCTAAACTATTATAACCTTGTCCCAAACACAGCCATTGTTACAATAGAGAGTAAGACTAAACAAAATCAATAAAAAATATATAATAAAATCATCAATGATATATAAAAAACTAAATAAAAAATGCAAATGTGCATATTTTCATGATTCCTTTGTTTTTAAGACTGTCAGAAACACATTCACATTTAACTCTTTATTGTATTGTGTTTTATTTGTGTACTATTACTGTAGTATTTACAATATTAAAACCCATTTCTTGATTTTTTTAGAAGTATATTTTTATTTTTATTATTAAGTGAAAGGTGCTAAGGAAAAAAAGTAACTCTATTGTTGTATAAAAAGTAAAAACACAATCCAACACACTATTAATACTTGCTGAATATTATGTAACAAATGCAATGTTTTGGTAATAAAATAAAATAAGGCTCAGTGGCGCCTCAAATAGTGGCTGTTTCGAGCCCCAGCTGGGTCAGTTGGCATTGAGTGTGTATGGATGTTTCCTAGCACTGGGCTGCAGCTGGTTGGCCATTTGCTGTGTAAAGGCTGATTTATACTTCTGCATTACTTTCGCATAGCCCTTCGCCGTGGCCGTCGGCATCGCTGACGTGCACCTCTCAGAAAAAGTAACTACACGTCGCAACAACGCGTAACACAAGCTCTGTGATTGGTCGGCTTGGTAGCGCTGACGAGTCTGGGCGGGACCGAGAGCCGCGTGAATGGTGCGAGCCTGATGGAGCGATTGTTTACAAGTGTGGAGTCCCGTGAAGGAGCTCTGGATGGAAAGTTTTGTTTTGTGTTTACCTCATAGTTAAAGTTGTTGCACGTCCGCCGGTTCCTGCCACAAAATGAGTGAGTTTGAGCCACTTGTACATCCCGGAAGTGTTCAGGAAAAGCAAACAGCAGTGAAGAAACTCGACACAGAGGAACATTTACACCTCTCTGCCAACTAGCGTTTCAGAAGTGTTAATGCAGACCAACAGAGACAGCGTGCAGAAGTATAAATGCACAGCTACGCGCGTTGCATGCGCCATGGGTTACGCCGGTCACTTGATGCAGAAGTATAAACCAGGCTTAAAACTTGTGTTGGATAAGTTGGCGGTTCATTTCGCTGGGGCGACCCATGATGAATAAAGGGACTAAGCCGAAGGAAAACGAATGAATGAATAAAACAAAACAAAATGGAAAAACTGTCAGGAACCAGAACTGATTCAAAAGTTTGTGGAGACTGGCTGTGCGGATGGATAGATGAATAGATTTTTGCCATGATATTGTGACCAAAGAAATATTGTGCCTTTATTCCATCCTAATGACTTATTTGAAAGCTCATAGAGTTACAAGTATATAAGCTAAATACAACTAAAGCAAAATAGTAAAAAAAAAATGGAAATCATCTTACATTGAGGTCCCTGAAGTATTCATTGTAGTCCAGAGCATAACCCACCACAAAGCGATTAGGAATGACAAATCCAACATCTGCAGAGAAACACAAATAACCAGATCACGTGATCACAGCTATATAAAGATAATCACTCCATCCGCCGTGTGATATTCTGATTCATCACGGCCCATTTGTGCAGGGCGGAAGTAGCATTTGAGCACCCTTGATTTACTCACAGTCTGGAAGCTCTGCCGCGCCGTGAGGAACCCTCTTCACCAGGAGCCTGAGCGAGGAGACACATTAACACTACTAACCAAACACCCACAACCTCGATTAAATCAGAATGATGAAAATGTCAAGATCTGCCACTCTCAGACAGCATGATTTGATTTCAGCTCATGCATCGTCTTAATGTAATTCTCTCTCTCATCTCACCCTGCTACTTTAACCATCTTGGGTTGGAAAGTCTCCACGTGCTGCAAAAGGGCTCTCATGGTCTTTCCTGTGTCCACTATCGCCTGCAGAAAATGAATGCATTGATGTATAGGATTACACTGGAATGGAGATATAGGGCTCTGTTTTAATGATATAAGTGAATGGTCTAAGGATCAAGTCGCAAGTGCACTTAGGACAAAGGTGCCCAAACTCGATCTTGGAGAGCCGGTGTCCTGCGAAGTTTAGTTCCAACCCCAATTAGACACACTTGAACCAGCTAATCAAGCTCTTTCTAGATATACTAGAAACTGATAGACAGGTGTGTTGAAGGAAGATGGAGCTACAGTAAACTAGGCAGGACAGCAGCCCTCCAGGAGTGAGTGTGGGCACTTTTGCAATTTTAAAGAGGGGAAAAACTGTTGACGCACCAAGCGCATGGTCTAGTAGGGTTGTCCTTATTCTCTTAATGAGTTATAGGTGTGTTTTGGAAGAAATTTTCATTGAACCAAATAGAAGCTCATCTCCTATTCCCTTTAAGGCTATGTGTACATTAATCCAGATAAAATCAAAAACGGCGTCTAAAAACGCTCCATATCTACAGTATTGCTTTCAATTATTTCCTTTATCCACACTAAAACAACTGAAAACGTTTTAGTTCAGTATGGCGCATGCGCACAGGTGTAAGACACTGTTGTCTGCATCATACCCGCCGGATGTTTACTACTTGAAAACGTTGCGCCAAAATGTCACAAGTGTCGTCTGCTTCCGTCGCTGAAAAACATCTCTTAGTAAACATTCCATGTCCTTTGAAGACATATGGAGCATGTACAAACTCTTATTTATTTTTAATAAAGCTGTCAGAAGTGACAGCATCCAAAACATCTGTTTTACAATGTCGTCCACTATGTTAACTGAATTGGTCACATGACTGCGTAACATGACTAAAATGCGTCATTGTTTTTGAAAGCCTCCATTTTCACAGTCCCAATTAAAAACAGCGTTTTCAAATGTATCCTTTTTGGATTCAAATTCAGATTTCATTTCCTTTGAATGGCATCATGGTGTGGACAGAAGGCCAAAAAAGAGAGAAAAATATGCGTCTTTAAATGGCATTAGCGTGGAAATGGTCAATGAGCAAGTTACTATTATGCCATGACACATTCCGTTTACATGGCTGACATTGTTAGCGGAAAAACTGAACACGTCACTTGCAAGGAAATGGATTTGACACTGATACGATTGGAAATAGATTTGACACTGATATGGCACGATTGGTCAAATTATTAGCAAATACCATTTGTCATTATTGCAAATATGTAGGTGGGCTAACTTTATGGTTAAATGCATCCGTTATGACATGTAGATATTTTTATATTTATGTAGACAATAATAATCTTTTACATTTTAACATTTATAAATTTTTTTTTATATTTAAAGATGTTTGTGTGCTGCTGCACATCCTTGTGTGTGTAATGAGCAACATGTGCGCAGGGTTTCTCATCCTCAAAAGAACATTATTTGAAAAAGAAGAGTATTTATTTTAAGCAATAATGGTCAAAAATAATATAATAATAAATGGTCAATGTAATGTATCTGTAAATAATAAAGGTGTTCAAATCTTATATAATTAATGTACAAACGTAATAAATAATGAAACTAATTAATCAATTAATTCATTATCAAAATAATATTTATCAAATTAATTAATTAACCAATTAAAACTTTTGACGGACCAAGCGCATAGTCTAATAGGGTTGTCCCTATTCTCTTAGTTAGTTATGAGTGTGTTTTGGAAGAAATTTTCATTTTCATTAAACCAAACAGAGTCTCATCTCCCATTAATATAATAATAAATGGTCAATGTAATGTACCTGTACATAATAAAGGTGTTCAATTCTTATATAATTAATGTACAAACTTAATAAATAATAAACTAATTAATCAATTCATTAATTATTAAATTAATTAAAATCTGTTTTTTTATTGATCAATTAATTAAAAAAAAACCTGACCTCAAGCTTTGAATGCTTGATTCCATAGCACATTTATGCTAAACAAAACATTTTAAGATTTCACTGTTTATAATACATTTTTATTGCTAATTGCAGAAAAAGCTTTGTTTTTTTCAATTTTCACTCAGCTTATTGCAATGTATTTTAGCAGCTTTAAATGTTTAAAATGTATATCAAGCATAATATGCCATTTAAGTGGTACATTTTAATACAGTGTTATGAACCACAGAGCAAATACCAAAAATGGTCATACGACTTCATATGAGAGTTTAATAACATTTAACAAAACCCAAAGTTATGGAAAAACGGATCAGCAGCGCTGTTATTCAATGCAGCGCAGCACAGGGAATGATCTGCATGGGTGATTTCAAACTGGAAAATGTCTGATGTGAAATCTGATCGGAAAGGAAAATACCGTTCTACTCTATTGTTTTCCAGACAAATCCCAGACTACCCTGTCCACAACCATCTTTGTTTATTTCTCTCTTGCATTTGTATATTTGAGTTCAATTTTGCAGTCTTGTTACGTCTTTATGATCTTTTAAATATATTTTCTTTTCCTTTGTTTGTGATAACAATAAATGAACAATGTCTTACCTCCACAATCAAGACGTTCTGTGTGGCATGTCAGAGGGGAAACAGAGAACGTATTAGACTTTAGAGAAGGCATCACACTTAAAACACCCCCAAAAAACAGTATAAAAACAAGTTATCATCAGAATACTATTACCAAACCTACTTTGATTAAAACATGTCTGATATTAATAAAACTGTAAATAGTTTATAAGACAAACGTTCAAAAAGTTCATTTAAATATTTTGCATGCACAACACTGTATGCTAAAATGATGTGTGCATGAGATCGACCAAGGACAAATATTCAAGTACATTTATTTGTTAAGCAAATTTAAATGGCATCTCCAAATCTTTCCAAAAAATAAATATAAATAAATAAATATAAATAAAAATCCAATAAAATATCCAATAAATAAATATATTTATTTATTGGATATTTTATTGGATTTTTATTTATATTTATTTATTTATATTTATTTTTTGGAATTTTTGAAAATTTTATTTTATTTGTAAATGGCGCCTTTCAAGACACACAGAGGTCGCTTTACAATAAGCATCAACAGCCAAGCTAAAACAAATTGAACATTACTAAAACAATCATTGACCAAACAGGTTAAAACACAATAGCGAATATAAAAGTACATGATAAAAAGCATAACAAAAAAACGTTAAAGAAAAGCCTGCTTAAAAAGCTGGGTCTTTAGACGGGATTTAAATGTGTGAAGACTATCACTGCACCTTAGATCTAGGGGAAGCGAGTTTCATAGCCGAGGAGCTATAGAGCTAAAGGATCTGTCTCCCATTGTGCTCAGTCGAGAGCGAGGTGGTACCAGGGTGGAGTTGTTGGCTGATCTAAGCGTACGAGAAGGGGTGTAGATATGGAGAAGTTCGGTGAGATATTGAGGAGCAAAATTATGAAGTGCCTTGAAAGTTAGAAGTAATATTTTAAAATCAATACGATACTTTACTGGAAACTAGTGAAGCTGATGGAGGAGTGGTGTGACATGCTCGTGAGATGGGGTCCTAGAGATGACACGAGCTGCATGGTACTTAACCAGTTGGAGTTTACGAATAAGTTTGGAAGTCCAGAAAGAAGTGCATTACAGTAGTCAAGACGTGAAGTAACTTATGCGTGCATAAGAATTGCTGTGTTATTGGTTGTGAGAGAAGGGCGGAGACGAGTGATATTACGCAGGTGGAAATATGCAGTACGTGTAATATTATTAGTGTGACCTTCAAATGAGTGTGTGCTATCCAAGATGACACCCAAACTTTACCTGCACAGAGGGAAATATTGTGCGGTTATTAATAAAAAAAAATTATATATATATATATATATATATATATATATATATATATATATATATATATATATATATATATATATATATATATACATACATATATATATATATATATATATATATATATATAAAAAGAGATTATTATTAGTATTAATAATAATAATAAATAATAAATAGTATTATTTTTTTATTTTTTTTATTTTATATATATATATATATATATATATGGGCATATATGATTCACTATCATCCTGGATGTGAATAGGCCACTAATAATACATACAAATACTTTCTTATGAGTAAAAAAAAATCAGGTACAAGACCTTCCCTTTCAGCATGGAGAGGTCGTCTGGCCCGATGATATGCAGATCTTCAGTGGACTGGTCATTCTGTAAAAGAGTGAAAAACCCAGAGGCAGATGTTAAAAAAGGCTCCTGCTGTGGTCCCTGTCAGCACATATGATCATACAGTCAAACAATCCGCGGCTGTACACCCAACAGAGGCTGCGTTTGTCTGTGAGATAATTGGGTCATTTTTTCTGCTCAGGGTCAAGTTGATCATCTGTGAAGGGGTGAAGTGGCTCTTCTGTGCTGGAGATGAACATTCTGGGTCAGTTCAGTAATATAGAGCTGGTGGATGATGAACTCGAGGCTCCTCAGGGGCCCATAAGATTCAGCAGAACAACCAACTATGAAGCCTCAGCCATCCATGACATTCAGCTTGACTTTTATTGTTTTCTTAGTGGATTCTCGCTGTGTGTTTAAGTAAAGCATAAACAACATAGAGTACTAATGGAGCGCATTATATTGGTAGATTAAAGTAGTATATAAATAAACACATATAACGTACAATACTCAATGTTTATTTATAATTATATATAATTCATATTAGTTTATATACAGAAATATATCTCAAAAATAGATGCAGGCTTGTATTTATTTGCATTAATAAACATACACTGCACATACACATACCGGCCACTTTATTAGGTACACTTACTAGTACCAGGTTGGACCCCATTTTGCCTCCAAAACTGCCTTAATCCTTTATGGCATAGATTCAACAAGGTACTGGAAATATTCCTCAGAGATTTTGCACCATATTGACATGATAGCATCACGCAGTTGCAGCAGATTTGTCGGCAGCCTATCCATGAAGTGAATCTCACGTTCCACCACATCCCATAGGTGCTCTATTGATTTGAGATCTGGTGACTGTGAAGGCCATTCGAATACAGTTGACTCATTGAAAATACTCCTTACACCATTACACCACCACCAGCAGCCTGAACCGTTCATACAAGGCAGGATGGATCCATGCTTTCATGTTACTGATGCCAAATTTTGCCCCTACCATCTGAATGTTGCAGCAGAAAGCTTGGCATACCTTGATTGTAATGATTAGTTATTTGAGTTACTGTTGCCTTTCTATCAGCTCGAACCAGTCTGGCCGCTGACCTCTGGCATCAACAAGGCATTTGCGACCACAGAACTGCCAGTAACGGGATATTTTATTTTTTTCGGGGTGGTAAGCATAGAGATTGTTTTGCATGAAAATCCCGATAGATCAACAGTTTCTGAAATACCCAGCCACTCTGGCACCAACAACCATGCCACATTCAAAGTTACTTAAATCGACTTTCTTGTTCTGATGCTCGGTTTGAACTGCAGCAGATCGTCTTGACCATGTCTACATGCCTAAATGCTTTGAGTTGCTGCCATGTGATTGGCTGATTAGAAATTTGTGTTAGGAGCAGTTGGACAGGTGTACCTAATAAAGTGGCCAGTGAGTGTACTGTACATCAATAATGTACACAAAACACATTCTCAAGAAGCAGCAGTTAATATTAATACATAGTACTTCAAAAATGTCATAGTTAATCAGCCATTTTGAACCAATTAATCAAAACAACCAAGTCTACAAATAAAGTATTTATGGATATTCAAAGACTTTACAAAGACTTTAAATTAGAATGTTAGTATTTTTTAATGTGTAAAATAATCACAAACACAAACTGCCTCAACACATTGTCTTGTATTTTGAACAGCATCTTTAAATGTAAAATGTTTTGAAATAATAGTGTCTAATTTTTAAACCAGACTTAGTCTTTTAACTAAAATGCATATCAGTTTAAAAGAAAAAATAATAATTAAATCATTAATAATTAATTAATAATAATAATAAATTATGTACTTAATTTGCTATATAATTTGCTATATATATCAGTGAGATGGTCAGCTCACCCCAAGGCTGGTCAGTTTACCCACTGGCTCAGATCAATTTACCCCTAACCTGGGGCAAATTGAGTGGCATGACCACTATGTCAAATCTTTAAAACAGTTTGTCCAAAATGCATTATCATCATTCCAATTAAAAGGAAACATCCTGAAGTTAAGTTAATAGCTAAAAGTGGCTCAACTACCCCCACTCTCCCTTACTTTCAACATACAAACAGTTCAGATGCAAAAACCTCTAACCTCATCTGGAATTTTCTCCTAGAATAAGTATTTTTTGGGGCCTCTTAAGTTCATGTTCAGTTATTTCATGTTAAAAGCAATGAAAATAACATCATTTGCCATAAAAGTGAAAATACTGAATCAATAGTATGAGAAAAAGGCTTATTTTAGGAGAAAATTTCAGATGGCACTTAGAGGTTTTTGCATCTGAACTCTTCATATAAGACTGAAACTGAATGTGTACTGAGAGTAGATCATATGATAGTGTATTGTATGATTTTTAATTAATAACAAACTCTACAGTCATAACACAAAGCCATTTAGGCCTATTATATTCTCCAGATATAGCTAGTGTGAAATATATATATTCTATCCTTAAAGAGTAAAACTAGAATTATGAACCAGTATTAATCCTATGTCAGGTGAAGAGAAATACATTCTTTGAAACTGACGATGTTGTAGAATGAAACAATTACCTGTAAGGTTCCCTGACGTACATGCTACTTTTTATGGCCATTTTGTTAAACCATAAAGGTAAACAAACTCATCTTGACAGAATCGACAGTGAATAAAGAATGTGTTGTTAAAATGTCTTTGTTAATTGTGTATCCTATCTAATAATTCAAGTTTCAAGTATTCCAACATCCAAGTAGTCCAACAACTGCTTCGGGCAAATGTGCAAAATTACACAGCATTAAAGCGCCCCCTGCTGATCATAGCCAATGAAGGCAACCCATTCATCAACACTTGCGTCAATTTCTTTTAAAACACTTAATATCTTAAATAAACTCATTTACCTGCAAAAATTGTCACACAATAACATAAATAATTATATACAGTAGTAAATACTATAGTTTTCTGAACCACACTATAGTAAAATGTATTACTGTAGGCTACATATTATTTACAGCACGTGAATGCTACAGCATACTGTAATATTAACAATAGTGAACTCTTAAACTGTAATAAATACTGTAGTATACTTATAGTAGTGAACTAGTGTAGAAAACGTACAGTAATGGGCAATTTGTTTACATTATAGCTGTTGTATACAGTATTCATTTTCCTTCAGCTTAGTCCCTTTATTCATCAGGGGTCGCCACAGCTGGAATGAACTGCTAACTTATCCAGTGAATGTTTTACATAGCGATTGCCCATCCAGCTGCAACCCAGTACTGGGAAACATCCATGCACACTTATAATTCTTCTATGGGGCATGTCTTTTGACTTGTGGGGGAAACAGGAGCAACACAGGGAAGAACATACCAACTCTACACAAAAATGCCAACTGATTCAGCCGAGGCTCGAACCAGTGACCTTTATGCTGTGAGGCGACAGCGCCACCCACTGCGCCACCATGCCTCCCTGAAATAATTATTGATTTATTTTTTGTCTCCTTACTAGATAGCTCTTGAAGCGGATGAACTCCACCCTGGTGGTCAGTCTGCTGTTGGTGCTGCGGCTCTGAGCTTTGATGGACTCCACCAGGTCCGAACAGAACTTGTATCCACCCTTCAGGACACACAGAACCATCATGTCATGATGTCCGATGTCCTCAAGGATGTCTCTGGCCAGACACTCGATCCTACAAATCACATCGGATCAGAATGCGGTGAACTGAGGAGGTGATCATGTGATTTCAGAAATTAGATTTAAGGGTCACATGAAGTTAATGTGCAAGGTTGTAGATTAACCCAAATGTGTAGGGAATGTGACTGTTGAGCTCAGAAAGCACGAGATATAAAACAAGCAGACAAACAGATTGAAAAAAACAGACACCGGTACAGCATTTTTTAAAATAGTTATGTACTCCAATCGAAAGGAACACACATATATTTAACAACATTTATCAATATTGATTGATGCTGTGGAAGAACTTTTTATTCATAAATAAGAAAGTACACATTTTAAACATTAATATTACTTACAAATCTTTCTCAATTTGTTTAACAAATCATCATATTAACATACTTTCTAATGCTCATATGTCACTTTTACAGTCATTTAAGACTAGACAAAGCAAATTTATTTATATAGCACATTTCATGCACACTGGCAATTCAAAGTTCTTTGCATAAACATGAATAAAAGACAAACAAATAATATAAAAATAGATGAAAACAGCTTAAAGACAGTTTTTCCATATTTCAAAAACACCAATGTATCATATTTTCTCATTTTACTCTGGGACTTCCCCATTTTAGTGATCACCCCCCCCTCTGTGGACTTTTTCGGTACCTGTAAATCTATTGGACGTCTCCAACAGATTAGATTTTTCACCTTAGATCGAAAAGTTGAGCTTTACATCTCTAATTACGTGCCCCCCAATTTCAACTTCCTTCTGGAAGTAAATCGCACGGCACCTGATTTCTACCCCCTCGCTGTATTTTTTTTATTTTGGAAAAAACATCGTTTTGTGCCAAAGTACTATCATTTAAAATCAAGCTATGCGGTAAACAATTTTGAAACAAGTAAATACAACTTTTTGGATTAGGCTTTACAGAAAATGCTTTTTTAACATTCTTTAAAATATCCCTTTTCAATATTTCTTCTTTAAAATATCCAGTTTAACTCAATGTAATTTCCTGTTAATTGTTACATTTAAAAGCAGGTTTTGAGTTAAAATTAGTACTAATCCTTTTTGGTTGATGCAGAATTCTTAGTTTGAACTATAATAAAATATATCCAAATGATCTGATGATCTACAGTCATGTTCATTTTAAGCTATTCTGTAATATTCTGCTATTAAATGTCTTATATTTTAGAGAAAACCTAGGAGGTAATATTGAGACTAAGGAAAATGACTACAAGTTCCATCATGTATTTTGAAAATTGTGTATACAAACACTATATAAACCCCTCCCCCACCACCACCAACACCACCATGCACCTGAAATTAACTTTAGTAGTACATTAAAGTAAAACAGGAGACATACTGTATAAAAACATATACAAGTAAACACAATATTATCAATTTTCATAATATTTCCTGTATAACTTTAATTTTGATTAGCACAGATTCTAACTGAATGTTTACCTGTTCATGATGACTCCATGAGGGATGTACACACACTCCAGATCTCCCTTGTAATGCTCAGGATAATTAAACAACTCCAAACTGTAACCCGTCCAGCCATCTTTAATCTATATGTCAGACAAAATAAAATAAAAACAATAGACCCACTGTATTTTTTTAGAACTCAAAATTAACAAACATAATCATCTCAGTATTAATTAACACTTAAGACTTTAAAAACAATAATTTGTCAAACTTATATTTACCACAACGCCAGGTTTTTTTCTCTGGTCAGCTGCCATGTCGGTGGACATCTGTGTATTAAACTGATGCTTCTCGAGTGAGCACAAGATGTTGTGACTCCACCCACTTTACATCACTGAACATAAAGGGGTGTGTCCTGAAAGTTTTGATTATTAAAATAAGACATATTTCTCATAAACATTTATAGATGTGTCGTAGTTTAAAAGTCTTGGTTCTATGAATGGTGTTTTTCATTCGTTCACATGAGTCACATGAGTTACATGTTAAATTGAAGTCATGCTGCTCATTACTGGAGAACAGAAACATTCAGCACAACAGAATTTCATTCACTGTAGACTCACTTTGCTGGTTTTTATTTTTTTATTTATTTATTTGAAAATGGTGTGTTATATCATTGTAATAAAACAGCATTGATTACTTACGAGACCAATGTTTATTTAATTATTATTTATTTAGCAGATAGTGACAGTGTGTTTTTATTTTAAAAAGAAATTTAATGAATATTTTTTATTAAAAAAGTATTTAAACAAATGTACCAAACATCATTATATATATATATATATATATATATATATATATATATATATATATATATATATATATATATATATATATATATATATATATATATATTCTCAGAGAATATAGACAATGTATTTTAGTGCAATTATTAAAACACATTCATTTAACAGTTAATTTATTTAACATATTAATTAAAATAAATGTGTGGTGTCCTAACATAACAGAAAGATAATATATTTAGATTCAAAAGAGGCATTGCGAAATAGATAAGTATTTTTTTTTTTAGAAATAAAATGTAATATTTTTATGGTTCACTTGATTTGTCCTCTTTATTAAAATTGTATTCACATTTTTTATGTTAATGCATTTAATATAGTAATATTTCCCCTAACATATATTCATTGGGCTGTACAAGTTATTTTAATAAATGAGTTCTGGTACTGACCACCTGTGATTTATTATTATTTTTTTTTATTATCAAATATTTCCCAAATAATATTTAACAGAGCACGGAGTATGTCAGTGTATGTAGTTTCAGAGTATGCCTTTTTTTCCTCAAGAAAAAGTCTTATTTGTTAATAGCAGTTTTTTAATTTTTTAAAAACATTTTAGGGTCTATATTATAACCCCCCTTAAGCAATATTTATTTTCAATAGTCTACAGAACAAACCATCATTAAATAATGACACCTAATTACCCTAACTAGCCCAATTACCCTAATCTATAAACCTTTAAATGTGACTTTAAGCTGAATACTAGTGTCATCATGGGAAAGATAAAAGAAATCAGTTTGTGTGTGTGTGTATATATATATATATATATATATATATATATATATATATATATATATATATATATATATATATATATATATATATATATATATATATATATATATATATAAACATACACACAGTTGAATTCAGAATTATCAGCCACCCTTTGAATTTCTTTGTTTCTTTTTTAAATATTTCTCAAATGATGTTCAATAGAGCAAGGGAATTTTCACAGTATATCAGATAATATTTTTTCTTCTGGAAAAATTCTTATTTGTTTTATTTCGGCTAGAATAAAGGCAGTTTTTAATTTTTTAAAAGCCATTTTAAGGACAAAATTATTAGCCCATTTAAGCTATATTTTTCCCGTTTATACAGAACAAACCTTCCTAATACAATAACTTGCCTAATTACCTTAACCTGCCTAGTTAACCAAATTAATCTAGTTAAGCCTTTAAATGTCACTTTATGCTGAATACTAGTATGTTGAAAAATATCTAGTCAAATATTATTTACTGTCATCATGGCAAAAATAAATCAGTTATTAGAAATGAGTTATTAAAACTATTATGTTTAGAAATGTGTTGAAAAAAATCTGCTCTCCGTCAAACAGAAATTGGGGAAAAAAATAAACAGGGGGTCTAATAATTCAGGGAGGCTAATAATTCTGACTTTAAGTGTATATATATAGTAATGTATAGTAATTTAATCCAGTAATTTAATTAAGTATTTACTTCTTTTGGAATTAATGTTCATTAATGTTCACTGGAGCAACACTAAAAACATTGAATAAGAAAGCGTAGATCAATCATTTGGATTCCAAATTTACTTTGAGCAATGGAATTACCAAGAGACCATTGATTTAATCCATCACTTTCTTTATTAGATTTATTGCTGTAAAACTCTACTAAAGCCCTTTAACAAAGACAACAGATGACAATGAGCGAAGACATTTGTTTTAAATGTTGTTCTTGGATATTTGCTGAACTCAGAACTACTAGTTATTCGAAATGTAGATGGTTTTGTGACGCTCAATCATGTCAATATCTCTCTCCAGCTGCTTCATTTCCTGCTCTAGTCGCTCCTTCCTGTATTTTTTGGGAGCCGTGTCAATGACAACCGAGAGACCCTGGTATTGGTGATGAAGATCGTCCCAGTTCTTCTTCAAAGCCTGTCAAAAGTCAAGTCATTAGACAATTCTTGCTATTTAAAAAATCAGTATACAGCCTTTCTTAGACAAACAAGCTTCACAATTACCTGTTCAAATAAAAAAATTAATATAGCACATTTTGCAATGCAAAGCAATAAGAGAGAAGTGTCTGTAAACAATTCAAAATGATGTATTGCATAGTTTGTTTTTGTCTTTACCTGCAGGATTTTGAATCGCTCTTCACCCGAGAGCTGTTTCATGGCCCCTTCTTTCATCCGCTCTTTGACGTAGCTGTCATATTCCTCTTGTGCTTTCCTGACTTCCTCTCTGCGCTGAAGCAAATATTCTGGAGTCTGACCATAATCCTGGAAACACACATTAAAACATGCCTGAGGAGGAGTCTCTTATTTGTATATATATATATATCTATCTATATATATCTATATATATATATATATATATATATATACATACATACACACATATATACACATATATACACACACACACACACACACACACACACACACACACACACACACACACACACACACACACACACACACACACACACATATATATATATATATATATATACACACACACATACAGTCGAAGTCAGAATTATTAGCCCCCCGTTTAATTTTTTCCCCAATTTCTGTTTAATGGAGAGCAGATTTTTTTCAACACATTTATAAAGATAATAGTTTTAATAACTCATTTCTAATATCTGTAATTTATTTTTTCTTTGCCTTGTTGACAGTAAATAATATTTTACTAGATTTTACTAGATATTTTTCAGGACACTTTTATATAGCTTAAAGTGACATTTAAAGGCTTAACTAGGTTAATTAGGTTAACTAGGCAGGTTAGGGTAATTAGGCAAGTTATTGTATAACGATGGTTTGTTCTGTAGACTATCGAGAAAAAAAAATAGCTTAAAGGGGCTAATAATTTTGACCTTAAATTTTTTTTTTAGATTAAAAACTGCTTTTATTCTAGCCGAAATGAACAAATAATTCTTTCTCCAGAAGAAAAAATATTATCAGACATACTGTGAAAATTTCCTTTGTCTGTTAAACATAATTTGGGAAACATTAAAAAATAATAATAATAATTCAAAGGGGGGCTAATAATTCTGACCTCAACTGTGTAACTGAGGGCGTTTAATAGCGAACAGGAAATCCACAAAGTTAGAGAAATACTCATCAATTATGCCACAAAATCAAGTTTTAGGAGTTTTTCAAGTGAGAATATAGTCAAACTGGCAGTTTATGTATAAGCATAGCGCGTCTTTAAAAAAGGACACAATTAACTTTGCTCCTCTGAATTGATACATTATATTGCCAAAAAACTAATTCCTCAATATTTTTTTCTTTGGGATGTGCAATTCTCTTGATAAATATTCTTTAGTTGAAAAATATGAATATTCTGCATTATATGTACATACAGATTTACATAAAACTGCTGAATGTACAGTATTTAAGGAAGTACATTATAAATAATTGTAATAAAATTACCTAAACAAATGAAAGGCAATTCTTGTTTAGCTGAAATAATTTAATTACAGTAACGAATTACTTTATAACTAATTACACTCAACCCTGGTCACAGGATTTTAATATAACAATTAATGAATACATTTTTATATTAAATCGCTTTGAGCGGCTTCATAAATTGTTATAAAATATTTATTATTTAAATGATTTGCTCTTCGTTTCCTTTAAGCAGAGTTAACAAACACTGCTTTATTTTCTTGACATTTATCAAAAGCAACTATGACACCGTTTTGTGCAGACGAAAGTGACTTGATGAGTTTATTACAACTATAGAAGTAAATGGTTACCAGTTTCCAACATTCTTCAAAATATCTTCTTTTGTGTTCAACAGAAGAAAGAAACTCATAAATGTTCTGAAACCACTGAGGGTGAGTAAATAGTGAGAACATGTTTGGATGAACTATCCCTTTAGGCAAAAGGGGTCCAGTACTAGCAAGGTGTGCTTAATAAAGTATGCTAGTGTCTGTTCTGCATGAATACAAAAGCAGGAAACTGATTAAATCCCTCTCCTCACCTTCTTCTTTATATATTTAGGAACGAGACCAGAGTTTTCAAGCGGTTGCTTGTCTCCCTTTTTTGTATCAGTGTACGCCGGCTGTGGTTTCTTCGGGACTGCCATGATATTCTCAACGGCATTGGTCTTAATGAAGTTCTTGTTGGTATGAAGACCCATGAGCGGCTTGTCAGTTCTAGCAGGTACTGGTGGTTTATAATGCAGCTCATCATCTTCATATTTAAATGGTTTCTCTGAAACAGCAAAAATTAATGATCAGACAAATCTTTAGTGATTTATACAAAAACATTGGCATTTATTATTGTATGAAAAGATATGTATGTTATGTAATAAAAGTGTAGTTTATCCAAAGATGAAAATGTTGTCATTATTTACTCCTCCTTAACTTCCAAACCTGTTTGAGTTTCTTTCTTCTGTTAAATACAAAGGAAGATATACTAAAGACTACAACAACAACAACAACAAAAAGGTCATTTACTTCAATAGTAATTTTGTTCCTGCTATGGATATCAATGACACAACAGAAGAAAGATATTCATACAAGTTTCGAACCACTCAAGTGTGATGAGGAAATTTTTATTTTTGGGTGAACCAAGTAAATTTAATAAATAAATAAAAAAAATATATATATATTAGATATTTCACATACTTTCAGGGAGTTTGGGTTCCTTCGAGTGTTTTAGTAGATATTTCTGTGGCAATGGGACGTCCACTTTAGCTGGTCCCATAGATTTATTAGGGGCTTTGTTTGACTGTTTCTCCAGTTTCACCTGCTCTCTGAACTTTGACATGTACCTGAAAAAAGAAGATGCTACTGAATGAATGTCACAGAAAACACGTGCTTCATTCAAATCAAATACACTCACCGGCCACTTTATTAGGTACACCTGTCCAACTGCTCGTTGATGCAAATATTTAATCAGCCAATCACATGGCAGCAACTCAAAGCATTTAGGCATGTAGACATGGTCAAGACGATCTGCTGCAGTTCAAACCGAGCATCAGAATGGGGAAGAAAGGTGATTTAAGTGACTTTGAACGTGGCGTGGTTGTTGGTGCAGTCAGCTAAGAACAGGAATCTGAGGCTACACTTCATGCAGGCTCACCAAAATTGAACAATAAGAGATTGGAAAAATATTGCCTGGTCTGATGAGTCTCTATTTCTGCTGCAACATTCGAATGGTAGGGTCAGAATTTGGCATCAACAAGATGAAAGCATAAATCCATCCTGCCTTAATTCAACGGTTCAGGCTGCTGGTGGTGGTGTAATGGTGTGGGGGATATTTTCTTGGCACATTTTGGGCCCATTATTACCAGTTGATCGTCATGTTAACGCCACAGCTTATCTGAGTATGTTACTGACCATGTCCATCCCTTTATGACCACATTGTACCCATCTTCTGATGGCTACATAATGTGCCATGTCATAAAGCTTGAATCATCTCAGACTGGTTTCTTGAACATGACAATGAGTTCACTGTACTCAAACGGCCTCCACAGTCACCAGATCTCAATCCAATAGAGCACCTGGGAGGAATGGGAGATTCACGTCATGGATGTGCAGCCGACAAATCTGCAGCAACTGCGTGATGCTATCATGTAGCATGGACCAAAATCTCTGAGGAATATTTCCAGGCCATTCTGAAAGCAAAAGGGTGTCCAACCCAAAGTGGCAGGTGATTGTAGATAAAATGGGGGGATGAGGGAAATCCCATTTAAAACACATTCTGACAGTACATTTTGCATCAGTTTCTGAACAGAAAGCACATTTACCAATTCTTTCTCTGTACTGCCGACAGCTTTTTGCTTAATTTCGGTAAAGTTGGTTTTATATTCGCAAGTTCAGACTTTCTTGTTAATAATATGATTTCATAAAGGTAGTATTTGCAAATTCCAAATAGAGAAATCATATTAGCAGTCAATGGCTATCAAAGTACAAAAATGTTCACAGTCATATAGATAATGTTGTTTTGAAGTCATAAATTACATGGGATTTGAGGCCGAATATTCAAAGCTCCATGGTAAACAATATATCTGCATGAATGTGCAAATATAAAACCAACTTTACCTCAGTTTTTGCTTTGTTTGTGGGATATAGGTGATGATTCACATACGTTCTCCTAAAACAGAACATATTGAAGTTCAAATTTACTTGAAATTTTTTTAAATATATCTTATATATTATATTTTTAATATAATATACCTTTTTTAAAATAGATTTTTGATATATCATCATATTCACATTTGCTATAGTAACGAAATGAGTAGACAGTGTTATAATGAAACAAACAACTACGTTGTAAAATATAAAACCATGACAAATTATTATTTACTGGGGCAAATATTCGCACATTTGAACTTTCTCGCTAATATAATTTCATTAAAGTATTCTTCGTAGTAGGGGAAATCAAAGTAAAAATAGCAACAAACAACTATTAAAGTAAGCATATTGATCACAGCCATTTAAATATGGCTAACGTTAGTTTTGTTTTGAAGTCAAACAAGTGATTTCACACCTTCAAGTTATCACTATTCATAAATGAACCAATGTGCGACAATAAAACCAATTTTACCTCAATTTATTATTTGAGGCCTTTTATTATTGATAAGTCTGGAACTCAAACGTTACCTGGGGGCTTTCATGGTTTTCTCTTCCTCTCTGGGGATCAGATTATAGATGCTCTCTGCAGGATAAATGGTGTCGCTCATGATGCCCGATGACAGAGACGAGAAATGACAAGAAAGAGAGAAATAGAACTGCGATATGAATGAAGACGTGTTTCTTCGGCGTTGTTTTACAGCTGTCCCTATGACAACTGCTGCCAAGCAATGTTAAACAAACAGCTTCTCTCGTGTTTTATTATTTCCCGCATATTAATTTCGTTATTTTAGCTTATGTTCTTTAAACATATAACTACAACAAACGACATGCTAAGCTAAAGATTTATTTCGTTATTATGATTTAAAGCTGAAGGAACAAGCCGTTTATTAAACCAGTAAACGAGAAATGTCCCTTTGCAGTTGCCGTATTGCCAGGGTTTGTTTACAAAGCAGCCACTGTGAGCGCACGTGAAATCCTGTACTAGACAGATAGACGCCGTTTTAGGTAAACCTTGCTTACTTTGCTAGTTTTAAACGTAATAGTTTCGGCAGTTAATAGTGTAAATCTATGTAATGTGAATTTTGAGAATATTTACAAAGATCCATAATGCACATTTACTAACCAAGAACCCTTTTATCCAGCTATTCTTACGAACAACATTAAGCAAAGTACTTATAAAAGAGCCATCTAACTGTTCTTTTACTTGAAATCTCCAAGATTCTGTAATTCCACAAGCCCCTTACCCTTTTTTAGTACGCATGCTTATACATATTGTATGTTTAATACTCTCAAGACACTAGGTCCAATTGTACAAAAGACAGACCAAACAATAGGCTACAAACCACACAGTATGCACCTCAGCAAGCATAGGGTTGATCAACAACAGTAAAATGCTATTCTGAGAATTCTGACAGATGAAATTTCTCACCAAAGCAAACAATGACCTTACAAAATAATTCACCTGACTACACATCTATGTTTTTAAGAAAAATCCTCATACAATCATTGTATGCAATCTGCAGGTTATGAAAGATCATTTTTTTAATTAATACCATTTAGGATCTGTGTATAAAGAACTGCAATCATTTCTAAAGAGGTTTACCTTAACCTGCTCTGAACACAAGTAAAACTTTCTCACCAGCATATTTGCTTTAATGTATATATATATATATATATATATATATATATATATATATATATATATATATATATATATATATATATATATATATATATATATACATACATATATATAGACATTGACATTATATATAAGAAATAACCTTCAACGTATTTGTCTCATTTATATTTTGTTTTCTTTGTACCACTGATCCGTTTTTTCTTTTTCTTTGAATTGTATATATATATATTAGATATATTATATATATATATATTAGTACTCTGTCATTTATACAGAGATAGATAGATAGATAGATAGATAGATAGATAGATAGATAGATAGATAGATAGATAGATAGATAGATAGATAGATAGATAGAGAGATAGATTTTTTAATACTTAAACCTACATATTGTGTGACAAATTATTAATCAATTAGTAAGTAAAGTGCATTTATATAGTGCATATATTGTGTATGGCCATACACCTAAAGCGTGTTACAATCATCAGGGATCATCAGATCATTCGTTGATCGCAATAAGAAAATATATAAATAAATAAATAAATAAATTTAAAAAAAAAAAAAAATATATATATATATATATATACCCACACCACCACCAGTCAATCATTATAGTATTTATTTGTTCTTATTGCAATCAATGAATCCATGTTAATCCATATTTTTATTTTACATTTAGTGTATTAATGTGTGTATTCATATATCCATGAGGGTATATTGTTTAATTTAATATTACAAAATATTAAGTTAAATTGATATCATTTTTAATTATCAAAGTATAATAACTTGATCATGCACTCAAACTGCCTTTGCAACAATTTAATCAGCTTAAACTAATAATGAACAAAACAGTATGCAATAAATCTCATATCAAACATCCTTAGGTGAAGTTTATGAACAGATTTTTGAGATGAACACGTGCTTATGATTGACCACGGCTGGTCTCGCATCATCAATCACTAACCGACCAGTTAGACACATTCAAATGCATATAGTCTGCCTTACTTACTTTAGTCGTCCTTGTTTTTTTGGCGAAACCCCTTTTCCATCCTGACTCCTTCCACTCCTATAGAAGGGAGTTCTTGAGACTCTCCTCTCTCTCTTCTGTTTAAATGGAGGGAGCCCTGGGCTTGTGGATCTTCAGAGCTCAGGGCTCTCTCCTGGGATAGGATGCCAAATACGCTTTTACTTAATCAAGCATCAGCTAAGTGTGAACTCTTGAAACATATTTAAAGTACAGTTTAACAAATGCAGTTAAGACATTGCATTGTTCTATTACTTTACTATCAGATGTACTGACATGGTTTTAATTCTGATCCTTTTTTTTATTTGCTTTCCAGATTATATGCTCTTCTTTCCAAGATGATCCCTGCAGTTTTAGGCCAGCTGTTGACTAAAGTAAATAGGCTAAAGTCTCACATGCTGTTTGCTCCATGTGGTTCTTCACTCTTCACAGCAGCACAGCTATCATCAAATCAATTCTCTAAACCTCCTGATAAAAATATCCTCCTCATGGGTCTTCCAGGAGCAGGGAAGACCTGTGTGGGCCGGATTGTGGGATATAAACTTAGAATGCCTGTTATCGATATAGATGACGATGTTCTTGAAAAGACTTGGGGAATGAGTGTGGCAGACAAGCTCTCCAAAGTCGGCGGAGATCGTTTTATTGAAGAAGAGGGTAAAGCGGTGTGTGGATTCACAGCTACTGGAAGTGTCATCTCAATGACCGGCTCCAATCCGCTGCATCGGGATACAATGCAGCACCTGAAACGCTCTGGAGTAATCGTGTACCTGGATGTAGACACAGAAGATATCATGCAAAGACTCGGTCGAATGAAAGTGAATAGGATTGTTGGTCAGAATTCTGGCGTTTCCATGAGAGATATATTACAATACAGGAAGCCATTTTATGAGGAATGGTTAGATGCGAGAGTGCTTTGTGGGACGGGAGACTCTATAGAGGACGTGGCTGATAAAGTCATGAAGACTCTGCTTAGGTTAGAGGACTCAGAATCAGAGACGTTCATTTCAACGAGGAGCCAAAGGTCAAGCGATCCCAAGTTCTTTAGTGATGTTGTCATTGAAGGTCTCGCACCAGATGGGGGGCTTTACGTACCACAGAAAGGATTCCCTAAACTTGATCCTTCTGAATGGTTGAGGATATCCAACATGCCATATGACGTGAGAGCTGTGACCATATTGGAAAACTGTATCCATCCTTTGGATGTGTCCCCTCTGGCATTGAGCAAAATGGTAAACCGTGCCTACAGCCAGAACTTTGCCGATCAATCAGTTGTTCCTCTAAAGCACCTCACTGATCATCAGTACCTTCTAGAACTCTTTCATGGCCCGACTGCCTCTTTTAAAGATCTGGCACTGCAGTTAATGCCTCAGCTCTTCGCCCACTGCTTGCCACAGATGTGCAACTACCTGATTCTAGTGGCCACATCTGGAGATACTGGAAGTGCGGTGCTAAACGGCTTCCGGAATCTTAAAGACAGTGACCGGGATAGAATCGGCGTGCTTGTGTTGTTCCCTGAGAATGGAGTGAGTGAGATTCAGAAACTACAAATGACAGGATTCCAAGGTGGAAATGCCAAGTCTGTCAGCGTCCTGTCCGACTTTGACTTCTGCCAAAGGAGCATTAAACAAATGTTTGGGGACTCCAACTTGATTGGACACTTTGCTGTGGAGTACGCCACAATACTCAGCACTGCGAACTCAATAAACTGGGCCCGACTGCTTCCTCAAGTGGTCTATCACTGCTCTGCGTACATGGACCTGCTTAAAAATGGCACATTGTCATTCGGGGATCCCATTGATGTGTGTATACCTACTGGCAACTTCGGGAATGCTATGTCAGCTCTGTACGCCAAGCAAATGGGAATCCCAATACGGAAGGTGATCTGTGCGTCCAATCATAACCGTGTCATATCTGACTTCATCACTAGCGGTGAGTACGATCTCCGTGACAGGAGGCTGCTGGTGTCAAACTCCCCTGCCATTGATATCCTAAAGTCCTCCAACCTTGAAAGGTTCATCCATCATGCATCTGGTGGAGATGGGAGTCTTGTCAGAGATCTGTTTTCGAGTCTAGAAAGAGATGGGTTCTTTAAAGTGTCAGAGACTTTACGGCAGAAGATAAATCTGGAAGTTCAAGCTGGTTGGTGCTCAGAGGATGACTGTTTGACGGCCATACGGGAGGTGCATAAATCAACAGGGTACATAATGGACACTCACACAGCAGTTGGCAAAGTAGTTGCAGATCGTCTGCATGACAGAAGCTGTCCACTGGTGATATGCTCCACTGCACACCACGGGAAATTTGCTCCGGCTGTCTTAAGAGCTCTTCAGTGTCAAAATATCCCACAGGACCCCGTCAAGCAGCTGGATGAACTCTGCAGCATTGGAGGTCAGGAGCAGACGCATGGAGCTCTCGTAAAATGCATGAGGAGTGCAGGAAATCATCCTCATGAAGTTTGTCAAGCTGACTATAGCATGCTGACAGATCAAGTAGAAACTATGGTACAAGATTTATTTCTGAAAGTCAGGTAAGACCTGCAATGTCCGCAGATGTCCACTAGATGGTAATGTCTGCCAAGAAATAATCAACAATTGTTAATTTGAACACAAGGTGGCAGTAATGTGCCAGGATAAAATTACAATGTTGATGTTCAAGAGATGTACAAGACTTTCATAACTTCATGATGGAAGCCTGTTTTATACTTCTAGTATCCAAATTGATTTTATGTAGTTGAAATGTAATATTGAAAATAACTATCACACAAAAACAGAACATCATGTCAACCCAAACATGAAATTCTCTCTACTTTTGCACAGACAGGCATTTTAATAAACATGTCAGTGTTTTTTTGTACATTGGAAGTCAGTGGTAACCCAAATTGTTTGATCACCAACATTCTAAACAATACAATGTTCTGCAGAAATCAAGAAACCTAAACATATTCAAGATTTTACTATCCTTATAATGTCAAAAACAGAAAATAAAGAAGGCAATAATGTAGATGTGCTGATTTGATTCATTTACCGCCTTTCCCAGATTAAAAAATACTAAAGTAATAATGGTAATCTAAGAAATTACCTTACAGATAGTCATACTATAAATGCACCCATTCACTTAATTCACAAGAAAACAGGACATCGACATCGAAGGCTTTCAGTTTATTTTGGTTACTTACGTATTCATCCTCTTTTCTCCAAGTGAGGAAAACAAATCATGACAAAGGTGATGATAAAATAGTTTGTATTCTGAGAGGTGCCACAATATGACTGTTCTTGCTGAGTCAGTAAACAGCAATCCCATCACACTCTTGGTCCCATGTGATTTTTTTTTTTCTGTCCAGTTACAGGCGTGACCGCGGCCGCTCTGCTCGCCACAGGAGAACGAAACACCTTCATATGCATTATGTACAAGAAACACTCAGATATTCAGAGACTTAAATGATATTCGAGTAACATTTACACATCAAGCAGACAAGACCCAAATCTCACTCACAAAACCAGAAATGAAATCCAGGTAGGAACATTCAAGCCGTCAAAAATACTATGCGGATATTTCAAAAAATAGCTTTTGAGTTGTTTTTTTTTCGACATGCAATATGAATGCATCAAGAATAAACATGAACATTTCATCCAAAAGAAATAAAACTGTTCTTCCTCAAGAGCTTTTATAGGCAAACGTCACAACCAATCATATACAGTACTGTGCAAAGCAAATAAACATACCATACATGACATAATGAATGCGAAACATTTGCACAATACTGTATGTTATAGGTGTTAAAGGGACAGACATTTTCATATCATTTGCTCAACCTCGTTGCAAACATTTATGGCCATTAAACAAGTAAAACAAATGTCAAAATTGAATGTTTGTTTTGCTAGAGGACACAGTTGTTCTTTAAGTTAGCTTCTGCGTTTGGGGTGATGGCCCTTTTCTGTTGGTGTCAGTTTGGTAATATTGTTAACCACGCCCCTATTGTTATAAGGGAATGATGCGCCAAAAAGCTCCGCCCACTTCTCAATATTCAGTTTCAGTCAGAAGTACATTAGTACACGCACACTTTGAAGGCTAATTTATACTTCTGCATCAAGCGCACGCATGCTGTGGCCATCCCTGACGCGCACCTCTCAAAAATTTTAACTACACGTCGCAACAATGTGTAGCACAAGCACTGTGATTGGCTTGGTAGCACTGACAATTGTGGGTGGGACTGAGAGCTGTGCAGACCTATTGGAGCGTGTGTTTACAAGTGTAAAGTCCCGCGAATGAGCTCCAGATGGAAAGTTTTGTTTTGTGTTTACCTTAAATTATTGCTTGTCCGCCGGTTCCCATCTTTAAATGAGCGAGTTTGAGCTACTTCTAAACTAAGGTAGCGTTCTACAAAAAACAAAACACCTACGAAGAAACTCGACACAGATGAACATATAAACCTACTGCCAGCTAGTGTAACGGGGGAAAAAATTAAACTGTAAATTAAGTATGAATGGTGTCAAAATGCTTGTTTTTGTTGAAAATATCTGTTCTAATTAAATCAAAATCCTATGTTCACTGTTAAACTGTGTAATACATCATGGGGAAAAATAGACACCTACAGGTGAGAAAGGGGGTTTAATGGGTGGAGTCAGCCAGCCATTTGGTCAGTTCACTTGTTGTTCAAAAGCTGTTGAGAGTGATTTTTTTGATGACCAGACCTGGTACACTTATTGTCTGTGTGGAGCCCTGTTTTCTTTCGGAGAACACTATAAAGTGAATTTGTTCAGGTAAACTGCTTCCGCGTGATCATTATTAAAAAACATATACGCACTAGGAGGGGTAACACTAGCATTTCGGAAATGTTACTGCAGAGAAACACAAATAGCACGCAGAAGTATAAATGTACAGCTACGCGCAGGGCATGCGCTGTGGGTCCCGCCGATCACTCGACGCAGAAGTATAAACCAGGCCTAATGATCCCATACTAAACACTGCTCATGTTCTAATTCATACAGGCTAAAGGATTGTTATGCTGTGTTCACACCAGACGCGGAACGAGCGAATAAATCCCGCTATTCACATATAAATAGACACGTGAACATTTTGAGTTTACTCGCTTCACAATAGACAGGGATTCATGTCATGGGCAGAGCTTCTGTCTGCCCTGTGACTTTAGCTTTATTGCTAAGTAGCTAAAATGGATTTCATTGAGAGAATAGCTACGATTATGTGCTTCATAAAGGCTGAACAACATGTCTGAGTCCACTAGATCCATTCAGAGGTGCAACCAGCTCTGTGAGTTCATCAACTCCTCTAGAAACTATACCTGGATTTCAGCGGTGCTTCAGACTGAGCTGAGCCCAGTTTGATGAACTGTTGTTTAGTGTCAGCAAGACGATTTCCCCCCAGGACACCAACAACAGGCACTTTGTCATAATCATGGCCCTACAAGAGAAAGCTCCTGATTGGTTAATCGGCGCGAATATCCTTTGAAGGTCAGATTTTCCAACTAGAGCAATTCAAATGTGCAAAATGCTCAACTGGCGCCACTTCATGACGCGATTTGAATGACTCGATTTGCACGAAATGCACCAAGGGATGTCTATTCGCGTCTTTGCATTGACTTAACATGTAAAACACTTGAGCTTGATGCTTCATCCGCGTCTAGTATGAACACAGCATTAGACTGCGTTAATTAAGGCAACCGGAGCCTGGAACACTTCCCAAAAGACATCATGATTTGAACGGCATCTACGCTTTTGTTAGACTGTTTTTTTTATTATCCCGAAGTCTCAACAATCCTAGACCAGGCTGTATCCTAAGCAGATGCTGTGATGGTCATGGAGGAGTGGAGAACATGAGACTAATTCCTGAAAGACCCCAGTGACAGATGAGTGTCTGCATTGATACCGAAGGGCAAGGCTGTACACCCGCCGGTGACCTACTCACACACACATGCAGTTTCTCCATGATGGACGTCCAGCATTCTCCAGCCTCTGGCACCTAGACTGCAGCTCTGCACCAGAAGCTTGGCCAGAGGAGAAATGGTCGAGCCCAACTGAGCCTGGTTTATCTTGAGGTGCTTTCTCTTACTTTTGTCAATTGGTTAAGTTTGTTCCTCGCCACTGTCACCACTGGCTTGCTTGATTTGGGACTTGTGGAGCTGCACATCAATGGATTTGTTCTTCAGTGTTTGGACTTTCAGCAGTGAAATTTAAACCACACTGAACTGAACTGAACTGAACTTCAACTCTAAAAACTAGACTAAAGCAGTTTAAATTTACTAGAACTCTTCTGTTAAGCTGCTTTTACACACTTTACATTGTAAAAGCACTATAGAAATGATGATGAATTGAATTGAAGGTTAAATAACTGTCAGAATTGTTATTTTTTAAATAAACTGTCCCTTTAACACAGAAGTGTTTCCTACCCTACTTTTTTATGTACAGATTTGTTTTTGGGCATGAATCAACAAATGTTCTACAAAGTGTCTGTAAACCCTCAGAGGGGCTTTCGTTTAATACTGAGGTAATGCTGAAATCATACATTTTAATTTCATGCTCCATTACTCAGTCCTTAAAGTGGATGGAAAACCGCTATTAGCAGGATGCGAGCGGGTTTGTTTTGTTGGCGATAAAACAACACTGGCTCACACATGCGCAAATAAAAATTTGTAATTCTATTATGGCAACAAAAAAGCGTATGCTTTAGATACAGGATTTTACTCGATCCAACATAAGCCTGGTGATATTCACAAGGGGGCTCCTCGAACATAGTTCGCCCCCATAATAAGGCACAGTGACTAAATCAACATAGAGTGCTTTCTCCGGCACTGACAGACCATCACTTCAAGAAAAAAAAAACACACGATGAGAAGTGGGATCAACAGTCTTGTACAACTGTCATGGTCTGCGAGAATAATGAGAATCGCTTTCGCTCCCCTTCCGCATGATGAAGTTTCGGCAATGAATAAACACCATCTAAATACACACTTGAGGCTACACGATTTCCAAGACTCGGACACGCTTGAGAACACGGAAAAAAAACAAGTTTTATAGATATCCAAAGGGAATGTTTTTCTTTACATTGGAACACCAGACACGAGTACAATCGGACATGAGAAGACCTTTTGAACCACAAATGACACGTTCTCCCGACGACAACAACCCCTTTTTCGCCCCCAAAACACCAAATATCAAACACCGAATGACCCCCTTCAGTCTCGCTGTTTCAACTCCTGCGAGTCCCACAGCTCTAGGGGATTCGAGCTCGGCGGTCAGTTAATATCGCGCCATCTCATCCGTCAACGTGATGGACAGACCAGAGACTCCTAACACCTTCAGAAGCTTATAACTGGCCTGCTGGGGAGAGCGAGACGATGTGGCGCCAGCCTGATGCCACGTCGAGGGTTGATGGATGGTGAGGAGCACCTGAAGGGGAGCTGAGGCAGGAACTAAAGGCCGGGGCGTTCTCAGAGTCAGCATGCTACACCGGGAGGGAACTGAAAACTGGAGGGTTCAAATCAATGGGTTGCATATTATGTGGCAAAAGGAGCTGGCTTTGTGCTTGGACTTTCATGGAACGGGTGGACTAACCCTCTTCTTCGCTCTCCTCCTCTAACGCCTCCTCGAACACTAGATCCGGGAGCCGGAAACACTCCTCGAAGAAGTTGACCAGTGACTGACTGAGATGTTGTCGCGTCAGCTCGTTGTGAATGAAGTGTCCTTCGTCTGGGTAGATCTGAATGAAGGACACAATGACAAGGTAATCAACCCAATGTCACAACACTTTAAAATAAAAAAAATGTTTGATGTAATAACTTTTGGTATAAACACAAATCTAGTTTCATAGAGTCTGGTCAAATCAGTAAAGTCTTTGATTTGTGAACCTTTCTTACTTTACAAATTTAATTACAAGTGTCTCAGTGTACAAGTTTCAGGATCGTCTCAGAATAATGATGTATAGTTAAAACTATTTTCCATCTTTTTTGTATGAAGGTCTTAATCATATATACAGCAAGTAAAATGTTCTCAGTAAACATATTTGAACAAAAAAAAGTTAGAAATTAAGTCACAGGGAAACGGTTTTGAACACATAAAGAAAGGAAGGTGTAAAAAGGCATGGAAAGTCTCAGTGGGTATCCAGTAACCCTGCCTCTCATCAGTGTAAATATTTGCTGCTTCAGTCCAACATTTACCAGGATGATGAAGATGGAATCAGGGTGGACATTTCAGCAAGACAATGATCCGAAACTTAACTTGTTTCAGAAAAGAAAATAAAGCTGCTAAGATGGCCAAGCCAATCACCTCACCTGAATCCATTAAAAAATAAGACGATCACAGTTCATAGATGAGAATCACAGAACTGTCAGTTTTTTAAACGTTGAAGTCTTTGGAAAAAAAATGAGCAATGCATATGACTGCATTCTCCATACAAGAGGCATCTTGAAGCTGTCATTAAAAAAAAAAAGCCTTTTATATTACGTATTAAATGCATTCCGTTGCCACCGTGGCATAAAAGTGCTAACAGGATACTACTCGCGAGGCCTGGCACACTTTAAAGTTTTGTTTTGTGCTATGTAGTATCATTGAAACCTTTCAATCAGTGTGATACTTTTTGTTATGTGTCTACTTTTGTGTTTTCTCCATTTGTATACCATCAGTTTTATGCTCATCTGAGGTTGGAGAGTGAGACAGAGACGCAACATACATTGTGCACATGTCACACGTAGGCTTTAAATATCACTTGGTGGACACACAGGGGTGAGTTCCAACTGCTGTACATTTATTTTTCTGTTATCTTAGTGTAGGTAAGGTAGTGCACCAGAAACGTAAAGATTTTCTTCTCAATATTGTCATATTTTTCTATTTGGATAGTTAGGCTTGAAATTTGGCAATAGAATAGGTTGTTTTGTTTTATTCATTTCTATTGTTTTAATGTCTCCCGCGTCTCCAACTCTCCCATCGACCTGTTTAAACACTTTGTGTTTCATTAGTTGCCTGTGATTTTCAATATATATATATATATATATATATATATATATATATATATATATATATATATAAATAGTTGAAGTCAGAATTATTAAATCCCCTTTGATTTTTTTTTCTTCCTTTTTTAAATATTC